TGTTCAACACTGAAAATTTCTGACAAAAAAAAAATTCGACCTACCTACCAATGTAATTTTTTAACCCGAATAGGGAGAAGGCAAACAAACTTCATTTCAAAAACGGCCTTACGGGAATTTTTCAGCCACCACTGGAAATCTTTAAAAAAATACACACTTAATTGTGAAAAGGAGATATCACACAGCCACTTGACGGAGAATAAATTTTTAATAAATAAACTACATCAAATTACACCCAAGAATCTGTCTTATTGTATAAATAAAACAACATCCCCTTGTTCTATTGCGGAGAGTTTCTCTCAAGGAGACGTTTTTACGTCGCATTTACCTTGTTGACTTTAGACGCGTCTTTTGACGTTACGTCATAATAGACATAAGGGAGGTTTTTGCTTGGCGCGTCACATATAATAAAACATACCCTTTTCCACATCACATCCTGTATCAGCCCTCGACCAATATCAGCCCTCGGGCCTTCGGCCCTCTGGCTGATATTGGTGTCTCGGGCTGATACAGGATGTGATATGGAAAAGGGTATGTATTATTCTCTATGTATGTTTATATAGGCAAGCAATTTACCTTCCCCCTCCCCCTTTCAAAATAATTTTTTAGGTTTGTAATGTTTTTTTTGTCCTTGCTTTTAAAAAGATTCAGACTTTGATTTTTCTTTATCGGGAGGGAACCCCCCCCCCCCCCCCCCCCCCCCCCCCCGTCTCTCCCAGGAAAATGATTGGATCCGCGCTTGAAAATTATAATAAATGATTAATAAATGTTTCAGGAAAATTTTATGTAATCGCCGTTTTATCAATTTTTAACACATTTTTAGCGGGTAAGTCTATTCTTATCCAATTTTCATATATTGATCGGTGATATACTCAGTATATAAAAAACTTGCACGAAAATACCCCCCTCCCCCAAAAATGAATCTATATGTATTTTTAGCTCAACTGAGCCGAAGGCTCAAGTGAGCTTTTCTGATCACATTTTGTCTCTGTCGTCCGTCCGTCTGTCTGTCTGTCTGTCCTTCCGTCTGTAAACTTTTCACATTTTCGACTTCTTCTCAAGAACCACTGGGCCAATTTTGACCAAACTTGGTACAAAGGATCCTTGGGTGAAGGGAAATTTAAATTGTTAAAATGAAGGGCCAAGTCCCCTCACAAGGGGACATAATCAAGAAAAGACAAAAATAGGGTGGGGTCATTAAAAAATCTTCTTCTCAAGAACCACTGGGCCAATAAAGCTGAAACTTGTGAAAGCATCCTGGGGTAGTGTAGATTCTAAATTGTTCAAATCATGACCCCCAGGGGGTAGGGCGGGGCCACAATGGGGAATCAAAGTTTTACATAGAAATATATAGGAAAAATCTTTAAAAATCTTCTTCTCAAGAACCACTGGATCAGAAAAGCTGAAATTTATGTAGAAGCACCCTGGGGTAGTGTAGATTCTAAATTATTCGAATCATGACCCCCCCGGGGGTAGGGCGGGGTCCCAATGGGGAATCAAAGTTTTACATAGGAAATATATAGAAAAAATCTTTGAAAATCTTCTTCTCATGAACCACTGGGCCAGAAAAGCTGAAACTTATGTATCCTGGGGTAGTGTAGATTCTAAATTGTTCAAATCATGACCCCCGGGGGTAGGGCGGGGCCACAATGGGGAATCAATGTTTTACATAGAAATATATAGGAAAAATCTTTGAAAATCTTCTTCTCATGAACCACAGGGCAAGAAAAGCTGAAACTTATGTGGAAGCACCCTGGGGTAGTGTAGATTGTAAATTGTTCAAATCATGACCCCCGGGGGTAGGGCGGGGTCACAGTAGGGAATCAAATTTTTATGTAGAAATATAGAAAAAATCTTTAAAAATTTTCTTCTCAAGAACCACTGGGCCAGAAAAGCTAAAACTTATGTGGAAGCATCCTGAGGTAGTGTAGATTTCAAATTGTTTAAATTATGATCATTGGGTAAGGGTGGGGTCACAATATGTATTACAAGGGGGAAATCTGGTAAAAAACAGAATGGTCAAAGATTCTCAGGTGAGCGATGTGGCCCATGGGACTCTTGTTTTAGATATTTGTATTACTATAGAAAAGTAAATTGGAAAAAAGAGATTTAATTGATGTATTCTCTTTTGAATAAACAATAAAAAAATTAACACAATAATATATAGATATTGTTATCATCCACATATGGAGACAAATAAAAATAAGTAATAGTATTTTTGCAAGATATCATTTTCGTCCCAGTATGTATATCAATCTTCCCTTCTCTTTGTCTACAATGGAATTAGAGGGGTAGAGCCTCAGCATCCGCCCCAGTTGTCGTTTTATGACCTTAACACCTAAACATGATTCGCACATTAATTAATAAATGCATTTTCTTTTATTACTTTCTGTTATCCTTTTGAAACGGATAAATGCATGCCAATACAGTGTATTATATTATAATAATAGGTATCACCGAAGACCTCACTGAAGACTAAGATCTGTCGTATTTTCGTCCTAAGATAAGACAGTCTTGAGAAAGCTTCATAAGCAAGCCTGCTGTTTGATTGAAATTAAGTTACATTAAGTTAAATTGAGAAACTTTAAATTTCTCTTTTACTAGTAATTAAATCTGGTGAAGTTTAATGTTTTTGTGACTTTTTTGGTTTCGCCATGTTCTTCTTAACTAACTGACGAATATCCGGATTATTATGATCCAGAGCAGCATTTTTAGCTCATGATTTCCATAAATGAAAAATGGAGATAACGAACTGTAATCAAGCTCAAAATACAATGAAACAGAACAATTCAAAAGCTGAGCAAACTCAGACCTGTAAAAACACGAGAGTTGGGTGCCATGAAAGAATTAGCATTCCGTTTAGATTGATCACACCCAACGTGTGCACGGGATAACGAAAAAAAATCTATGGGTATTTTAGTATGTATATAAACTATTTTTTCGACGAACGCGCACTAAACGTAAATCCTGTCTTCGATGGAGCTTCTCGATTTTCCACTATTGTCAGGGATTGCTTATAATAAGGGTAGTTGAAGGCCTTGAGTTACGTCAAAAATAACATAAAACCAATTTGATTTACTCTATATTCCCTTTAGGAATATGCAATATTGTCCTATGATAGATATAGATTATACTCTCTCTCGAGTAAAGTTATTTAGTCATAAAAACAAACTAGTGCTAATTGTAACGGGAACCGTTACAGATGTTCCCCAAACGCTCCCCAACTCCCTTTCGGTGCCATATTCCCTGTAAGCTTCATTAAATAAGACAAGCTCTGTGCATTTTTGACTTTAACAACGTTTTTCCAGAAGGATACCAATTATATTCAATTTTTAGCATTGCACCCAAGCGCATGTGAATGCATGTGCGTTATGACCATATCATCTTGTCTTTCAAGAATAGTTTTAGATATACTCGTTTCAAATGCACGCACGTGCGTGCACGTGCATGATGATCATACCTTCTTGTAGGAGTCCCTTACATCTATCTATGTTCTAAATCCCATCCTGTTTGGTTGAAAAACAAGGGAATTATAGCCATTTAAAGTTTCAGCCAATCAGATTGCAGCACACGTGCATGCGCGTAATTTCATGATTTTTTTTAATATCATTTTGTAGGATATCCTAATGCACGATTATATTTTAAATTTCAAAGAATTTCGTCAAAAAACAAAGGAGAAATAGCAATTTAAAGTTTCAACTAATCAAATTGCAGCACACGTGCATGCGCGTGATTTCATGATATTTTTTCTATATCATTTTGTAGGATATCCCAGTGCATGACTATATTTTAAATTTCAAAGAATTTCATCAAAAAACAAAGGAGATATAGCCATTTAAAGTTTCAGCCAATCAGCTTGCAGCACACGCACATGCGCATGCTTTCATGAAAATTCTTATATATCATGCGGTAGATCATTATAATGTAGGACTATGTTCAAAATTTCAAAGGATTATGATAAGAAACAAGAAAGTTATTGATACTTTAGTTTCAGCCAATCAGAGCAAAGCGCACGTGCATGCGCGTGAAATCTTGCTATTTTGACCATGCTATCTTGTCTATACTACTAATGTATCCTTACATTATGAGTTTCATGAGTGCGCAGGCCTGTAAAACATTATGGGTAGGAACTGGTGCCATGAAGGAGTTAGCATCCCCATGTCGATAGGTCACATCCACGGTGTTCTTCTTGGACAAAAAGGATATTCCGTAGACAATTCAGTGTGTAAATAAAACATACTTTGTGTCGAAATCTGTACTAATTTTGATCAATCGATTCAACGGAGCTTCTGGGCTTTCCGCCCACCCATTACCAAGAATTAATCCGGGAGTGGCCAAGACAAGGGCAGCAGAAAGCTTTGGATTACGCCAGGATAACATAAAGCCATTTTGGTTTTCTCTACATTCCTAAGTTAGATGAAAATATTCGATCATGTCGCTACACTTACAGAATATTTCCGTTTTATTTTGCAGGGATAGCCTCAAACTTTTTCTCACTTAAAATTTCTTACATCCTTACATGTATTTATATAAATCTGTTTGAACTTACAGGGATGTTGCATTTTTCCCCGACTTCCTCAGTTAACAACAAGCAATTTGTTTTTTTTTCCTAAATTTTAATCATTGAATATGCTGATCCTTGGCCGAGTACAGAACTAGTCAGAATTTGGATTTAAAAAATATGCCATGATCTTTTTGAGCAATTGTTTCAATGATGCTTAATCATCAATTCCTGATTGACTCTGAATCCTTTGCAATTCCTGATTGACTCTGAATCCTTTGAAGTTTTTTTTTTACATTTTGGTACAAGATTTAAGCCTCTATTGTGTATTTGGTGTTATAAAACAACAATGTGAACGAAACAAATTATTATTATTGTGTCTCTGGTAAATTCATATTTTACGATTCATAAATTAGCTACACTCTATACACATGCACTGTCACAGTTTTTCATTTTGCATATTATTATGAAAATATCCCTTCGAAACATTTTTTTCAAGAAACAACAAAAAGAGAAAAATTAGCAGAAAATGAACCCATGCTACGAGAGCCTCCTTACCATTCAGCCTCTGACGACAAAGGTAGGCACAACACCTGGTCAATTTTTTTAAATTCCTGACCATATAAACATGGACATGGTATTAGATGCAAATTAACCGATTTCTCTGTTGTTAGATGCAAAGTTTCTAGCACAGTATGTTTCATTTTACATATGAAATATTTTCAGAGGAGGACATAGAAAATGTACTTGTCGGAGAAAATCCAAACGGTAAAAAAGAAAGAAAAATAGAATATGTCTACAAAAATTAATTAGTGATAAATTGTGTTTGTTTCGGTGCATCTTTAAATCATGATTAAATACCTATTAGATACTTATCGTTTATTTTCTAATCAGATTCTAATATGTTGCAGTGTCACTTTATAATTTTTTATGTACGAAAAATCATGCCGCACATCAGATGTATTTACCCTGTATATGTATTTTTAAAGTCATTTATTTTTAGATTTACAATATGTATCTGTGACGACAAAGCAAGGCCAAGATAAGAGGAATGAGGGTTAGTTGACACACATTTGTTTCAATACTGAATGCATATGCTATAAATACTAAAGATAATGAGAGTGATTACATAACTATAATCTTTAATACATACTATTTTATTTATTTATGGTATATGGTTTACTACCGGTATTATTTTAAAATGCATAGGGTCTTGTTGACGTTTACTCCTTTCTTCGTGATTTTAAAAGAGTTTGTTACTGAAGCTTTTCGTGGAATTCCAGTCTTATATCAAATTCCATTGCCATTCTTAATTTGTAGGAAATAAAGCTTAATGGTATTACATCCAAAAATTTTAATTTGTAAATGCAGTAAATTACAGCATAGAAAATTAAATGTTTCCTGTATAAAATTAAAACAGATGGTCTGGATCTTAATGGAAAAGGATACAAGAAAAAGATTGGTGCGAGTATAGAACTGGGAACAACAAACTCCGGATATTGTTATTCTTATTATGAGCAGTTTTGGAAAGATCCTGTTGGAAGTATCATCTTAAATAAATGGTATTCTTCAGAGCTTGAGACCTTGAGAACCGGCACAGAAATTCTTTTAGATAAAAACTTGAATTGCATAAACTTTGGATATGAAGCTGAAAACTCGTATGCAGAAAGGGATGCAGAGAACATTCAAGAGGAATACTACTTCTTTTCAAAATTTATTAAGGACCTCTCAAAATATTTTAGGAAGGTGCGTAGATAGGGTATTTAAAATAAGAGTCTTTATAGACAGAAAAAAATATTAAGTGTTCTCCAAGATTCATGCATTTTAATAATAATCTTGTAAAGGCCATCCTGATAAAAAAAAATCCAATGCTGTTAAACATATTTGGAAACAATTGAGAGTAGAATGCATTTATCCATAATTGATAGGTTTTCATTTACCCTCGTATTTGTGCAGCACATCCAGATTTAATTTTATATTTCCCATCGGACATCTATTTGAAATAAAATTTATGTCAGCTATTTTTGCTATAGGATAAAACAAGATCAAAGCATGTTCTTCATGCTGTTAATGCACAGAAGGAGTTTGATGCCATGGATATTGTGGCTAAAGCAATAGAATATATAATGAAAGAGATTTTCAACGACTTAAACAGTAGAGGCTATAAAAAAGAAGACATCAATATGCACTGGGTTCTTACTGTATCATCATTGTGGAACAACAAAGGAAAACAATTTTTGTGCGACTGTGCAACAAAGGTACTAGTATTTCAAAGAATAGTCATTTTTTAAGTATTTATATGTTATAATGTAGTTGTTATCCCTGACAATAATAACGTGCCTGGGATATGGCAAAATATTAAAGAAGCTGTGATCCCTGGGCCTATGTATTGATCAAGTAGACATTTCGTAGTCAAATTTAAAACAAAGACCTAACAATTTGTATGAAACTAATCAGCCAACATTGTGAAATTTATGGTCCCTTGGCCCAAGGTTTCGGCTGCGGGGAGGGTTCCAAATTGGTCATGTCTTGTACACCATCTTTGAAAGACTATTTTACTCAAGGATAACTAGCAGACAAAGAGAATGATTAAGAATAGGTTCTTAACCTTTGCCAATTAAAGTTGTAATATTCACGTCTCACCTGTGTAAAGTTTAAACCCCTTGATGTGGCTAAGAAAGTAAAATATTGGGTTTTTTTCTTTATGAATTTTTTTTTAAATTAATGACTACAGAACTCTGATTATGGCTCAAGCATACGACTGATGGTCAAATATTGGAAATTCGTTACACTTTTGAGAATTTTACTTTTTTACATAATAATATGTTTGCTTGATATATTTAACATTTATCTCTCTACCAAAGATTCACAGTACAAGGTTCATGCTTCTGATTATGCACAAGAGGCCTAATATTTTGGAAGCTGTATTACATGTTCGGAAATACTTTTAATTTAGTCTTGGACATTCAGCAGGAATTTTTTTGCTTGATGAGAATGGACAGCTGGTCCTCTGAACAGTTTTAGCTCACCTAAGCCAAATGCTTAAGTGAGCTTTTCTGATCAAAACTTGTACGTTGTCTGTCGTCGTCGTTGTCGGCGCAAACTTTTCACATTTTCATTTTCTTTTCAAGAATCACTGGGCCAATTTCAACCAAACTTGGGTGAAAGGATTTCAAGTTTGTTCAAATAAAGGGCCATGCCCTCTTCCAAGGGGAGATAATTATGAATTAATGAAAAATTGATAGCATCTTAAAAAATCTTCTCCAGAACCACTGAGTCAGGAAAGATGAAACTCATGTGAAAGCACCCACAGATAGTGTCGATTCAATTTTTTCCAAATCATGACCACCGGGCGTAGGGTGGGGCCACAATGGAGGATCAAAGTATAACAGGAATATATAGGAAAATATTTTAAGGACGTTCGATCCTGAGCTTTTTATTGGATTTTGGTCCTGTCCTTCATTTATAAAAGTCTGCATCGTTTTTAAGTTATAACATTATCAGACTTCTACAATGCAAGTTGAACTATATTCAATAAAAAAAAAAAACTGCGATTAAATTCCATTCAAGTAAAATTAAGCTTGGAACTATATTTTGTGGCGGAATGTTTTTTTAGAAGAAAATGATCATTTTTTTCACTTCTGAACTATAACAGTACTGTTAATTTTAGATGCCTATTTTTCCATTCTTGTTGCAGACAAAACTGGGGTTTTTTTTGCAGTGAAATGTGGTTTTCTTGTTCTGAAATATCTATTTAATTATTTCTTATGAATTCTTTCAACGAAGTGTGACAAATATAGTCAATATATCCTGAAAATCCGGGAAAAAATTGAGCCAATTTTAACGTAAAATTGACACTTTTTTAGTAATATCTGCAAATTTACATTATCTACCCCCACTTTTGATATTCTTTTCTAAATATTTAAGATAACTTTGACCCATTTGCTTTATTTCATAAAAAGTTTAAGACTTTAAAATAATTTTCTTGCTTATTAAATTTTAAATGGTAGAAAAATAACATTTTATTAGTGCAGAAAGGTCAGATAATTGATTATGCGAAGCAATTAGAAACATTTTTTTAGTCACAATTTTAAAGTGTCTTTCATTTTGTTACATGCTTTAATTGGATAAAAATATTGCAGGGAAAACGTCGAAGATGTAATTTTTAATTAAGACACAAATTTCAGTGCAAAAAGGTAATATTAAATGTACTGTAGCGCCAAAAGAAGCATATTGACCCCCATTTTTTGATCTGAATTTAATAAAACTATGATGTATAAACTAAAAATATACTTGGCAAAAAATGTTTAAGACTTTAAATATCAGGATCCAACGGCGTTAATATCTTATCAAGAACCACAGGGCAAGAAAGATGAAACTTATGTGGAAGCATCCTTGGGTAGTGTAAATTCAAGTTTGTTCAAATCATAAACCCCTGGGGTAGGATGGTGCCACATTGGGGTATCAAATTTTAACATAGGAGTGCATAGGAAAATGTTCAAATATTTTCTTCTTTAGAACAGCAATACCATGATTGGTCATAGTTATATGGAAGCATCCTCTGGTGTAATGGATGGAGGTAATACTATTATCTAATGGTCTAAAGTCACTTCCATTGATACGTTGACGCCCTAGTGAGTTCGAAATAAAAGTCACCACAAATTAAGCCCCATCTATTGCATATTTGGTTGCCTATTGACTATACACAATAAGGGCAAACTAACATCTAAATTGTACATCAAACTAGATGACTACAACTCTTCAATCGTTTACAACGAACAATAAGCATGTTCAAAAGTCCATTGAAACAATGTAAAGCAGGAGCAGATCAAACTCGGGCCTCTAAAACACCAAACCGTGGGATCAGTAGCCTTGTAGAAGTAAGCATCCTCTCTTAACCGGTCAAATCGTTAAGTGCTTTTGTCCTGATCAGGAAAACCTGAAAATCTGTAGACAATTTAGTGTAAAAAATGTCCTCACAATTTGTATGAAAAACGCCATTCACCTAATTTTATCATATATCGTATTTGCTGATAAGGTCATTAAATCGACTGTGGATTTTGCGAAATATTGATTTTAAACGAGACTTTCACTCAGTAGCTCAGTTAGTAGAGAGCTGGCTCGACCCATGATTGAAATTATTTTTAAAAAATCTTCTTCCCAGGTAAGGTATATTCAAAGGATGTATTCACTTTAACAAAAGAATTGACCTATAGGAGAGAACAATTTCCCGGAAAAAGTGAATTTAAAAATCAATCTTTATTTGTTGTTTTCTACCGTATAAATATGTCTAAATTTTTTAAATTTGTATTTAATTCCTAAAATAACTATTTCCAACTTTACAATAAACCTCCAAAGTTGATAGAAACACCATTTAGTCCTTTAAAGCGTTGATTTTTGCATGAATTTTGGCCTTGAAGTCCATCAGGGCAGGCCTGCCCCTAAATAAAATTATGATATTGGGGTCGAGATTCACAAAAAATCTACAAAAAATAAGGAAACCAGATTTTCATAATCTGCTTTAAATTTATGCGATTCAGTGTTATAGTCAGACTAGCTCATTTGATATATGCGCTGACTTTTATACCTTGGAGACGCTCTTGTTAAAGTCGGGGGTTCGAGTACAACACTTTTAAAGTTTTAAATTTCACCTTTTCAAAGACTTAATTTTTTTTATAGACTTGTGTATTTTTCCTTCAATTATATATCCCTTATGCATGCCCATTCTTGATATAAGAACACTAAAGAGATATCAAATCGTAACAATCCAATGTACAGTTGTCAGTCAAGTGGAACGAACCTCAGTATAAGCACACTTTCTCCGAGGACAAGAATAACTCACTATGTGTTACTCAATACGGGTTTTCTTGGCAGCATTGAGCTGCAATGAATTTCAAATGTATATTCCTTAGAATTTAATCACATTGATTTTGGCTACATATTTCAGTAAATGCACTCCTTGGATTTCATTTAGGCCTATATAATTTGTACACATTGTCAAATTTTTATTATATCCACGGATAAATAGCCTAGACATAAAGAATAGAATTTCAGAGACAGAAGACATTACCTTTAAAGCACAATGAGAAGTAAAGACAAATATCAATTATTACATTTGGAGATAACAAACTCAGAAAATCAATGAAAGGGTTCCTTCTACCTCTACTAACTGAAATAAAGATTTAGGAAAACATATTGTTATATGTATTCAGCCTAACGTCATTAATCAGAACCACTGCTGGTAAAGTGCGAATCGAGAAAATCTTGGTTTCGGACACCAGCTACTATTGGCACCTGTGAAATATCTGGTTAAATACATATTTTTTGATATAAAACAATAAAAATCACTTTTTAGAAGGCAAATTTATTAAAATGTTAAGCGATTGAATTGCTTTAATACCCCCAAAAATTCTCAATATCGAAACATTACATGTAAGAGGCTGTTTACAGCGTGTTTTTCATGTACTCGCATTCGAATGATGCATTAAGTCTACAGGACTGAGTGGACAGTTAAGAGGGCAAAGTTAACTTTAATTCAACGTTATTTTATGCCGTGGACACAAACAATGTGCTTCACATTAATTATTTTCATGGAATTAGTCAATAACTAGCAAATTCAATTTGTAGGCGCTACAATTGATTTCTGTAAAATTTTGACACAGGCGACTTTTTATTTGTGTAAATGCGACAACTGGTTTACGTCTCTGAGACTGTTGGTTTATGTTACTTAAAGTGAATATTCTGAAATTATTCAAAATTGCATGAAAAGGATAATAGTTTTTGTAGTTTATTGTCATTTCTAGCCATTTCTTACAGCAATACGAAATGTTCCATCAATTCTTGTTACGCGGATATTGTGTTATTTGTTATATTCTTTTTACTTTTAAATGGAGTGATATAGTATAAATGAGCAAGATAATGACACCAAATAATTTAAAACTGCACCAGGTATACATATACGAATGTCGTGATCAAGCGATCAAACTTTTTAAAGCAGTAAACGAATGTATACTGGTGATTTTTTCCTTGCAATTTATATTTGTTCAAAGCTTGATGTTTGCATCCTAGGAATTGTGTTGCGTGTAGTCTACATTTATCCAGTTATATCTCAGGCACGTAGTATGCCAGTTGGGGTGTACTTTATTTCCTGAAAATAGTCTTTAGCTTTAGTTTTGATTCATGGTTTTAATTTTTTATGTAGATATGCCCCCCCCCCCCACTTTTTTGTAACCGTAAGGTAGCTGCATTTCTGAAACTTGCTGGTCTGAGAAAAAAATGATATAGACTACCGAAGTGCTACAGTGCCACCCAAACAAAAATCTGTTAAAAAATTGCGCCCAAAAGCTGCGATTGGTACTGGATTAATTCCTCCAAATTCTTATCTCAACTGCACAAAAGCCAAAAAAAATCATGACCTCTAGAATTCTTCACGAAGCATGTTACAATTGAAACGATTTGCCTCTTGTCATCTGCAGAAAAAATGCGAAATTGGCTGGTCTCAATTTCATGGAGGGTTATTTACAACAGATATTTGTTGTGGAAGTAGTAAGTGAAAATTGTAAAGGAATTTATTTGGAATACCCAGTAAGAATTTTTTTTTTGAAAGTGGCAGTTTGAATCCGAGAAGCAGCACACTTTTATGCACAATAAATACCGGTATACATTTTTTCCATCTCTCCCGTCTTTGTAAAGATATAGTTCTGCAGCTAACCGTGAGGTTTGCAAACCCAGCCGTTGTCATCTTCGCTAGCCAAGGGTTTCTAATACGCTACTTTCTTCAGTTTATGCAGAGAGTAGCATATGAGAAACCCTCCGATAGCAAAGATGGCCGTTGTGGAAAAATGGAATAATTAGAGAAAGGTCCCCAACACACGATAAAGAAGGACTGCTCTTCCTAGCTTCAGAACGACAGAGTTATGGTTTTATAATTAAGTCTTTATAGTCAAAGATGAAAACATGAAAACCATAAGTTAACACTACACTCTACAGTTTTGGAGCTGTGTTCTTCCGAGATTGAACATTTTTTGGGGTTGTCAATCATCTGCGATCCTCATCTTTCCTACATATACATTGAAAAATAATGTCACGGGTCTGTATGTTTAATAAATAGACCGGTGTCTTTATGTCATTCAAATATAAGAATATTTTGTTTGAGATATTAAAATATTCCATAGAAGTTGATCATCGGAAATATTTAATGCCATCTTTCCAAGTCAAAGGTTAAAACTATTCATGGAGGGGATGTAAAAGTAAAACACTCTTACATGCATCAACGTCTATTCCCTTCAAATACATGAAGGGTCATGACATGCATCAACGTCTATTCCCTTCAAATACATGAAGGGTCATGACTCCCATTCTTATTAATGAGAGGTCAATCTTTTTTCCTTGGGTGGGGTGATGGGGTTCCAAGGTCATTTTTGTTTCTTCTGCATGCATAGAAAGTTGTAGCTTTAAAGTTCTAGATAGTAAATCGAAGATGACTTGAATACAACATGAATCTAGAATTATTTAAAATTTAACTTTTGGATAGAACCTTAATGAACATAAATACTCCAGAAACATACTTTTAGTAAAACAATTTCATGATTTTTAAGAATGTTATCCAATATAAAACTAACCAGAGTGAATTTTGCATTTTTGAATCCTTTATTTTTTCACATAATAGAACAATTTATGTTGGGGGGGGGGGTATATATATGCAATATATTTTTAATTTTTTGATAGAAGCAACCAATCCTCGAATTGGAGGTATATATTTTGGGAGATTATTCAAGAAATTTGCACTATCTGATGTGTCAATATTAAATTTAAACGTATTTCTCAGGTAACAATAAATTTATGATACAGCAGTAAAACGTCGCACTTCATGAAACAGAACAGAAGCCAAACGTAGCAATTACACGTGTCAAGAGTCGCACATACAGCAACCATACTCGCAATATTATCAGAAAACTCTATATTGCATCAAAAGTTTTAATCTTGTGAAGCATAAAAGAAACAGGAAATCATAAATGATTCATATAGTATTTACTCATATCACTTTTAACACAAATAATGTAGTGTTAATCGAGTTTACCACTTTAAAAGCAAATATGAATAATCTAGTAAAATACATTAAACGAGTGTAATCTAAAGCATTTACGGAATTGCTCCTTATTTGTATTCAACCAACAAGGAATTCTACTGCATGAAACCATACTGGACATTAATAATTACGTCATTATCAAATGTACTATAATTTCTGATAATGAAGTTGACATAGACTGCCTCATTGATGTAAACCAATAGTAGCTGGTGTCCGAAACCAAGATTTTCTCGATTCGCACTTTACCAGCAGTGAGAACGGAAATCGACAAGCTTTTGGTAGAGAATAAAACCAAGTCCGATCCTATAGGTCAGATCCCTATTTATAATGAAGTGATCCTTTGTTCAAATCATGTCCCCTTGGGATAGGGTGTGACTACAATAAAAGATCAAACATATAGAAAAAAAACCTTCTAAGACAATGATTACTCAAAGAGATATGAAAGCACCATCAGTTAGTCTAGATTCAAGTGTGTGTGTTCGAAGGGGGATGTTGTGTTCACTTTTATATTTAATTTTTCAATACTTATACGATTTCTGAATTGTTTTAGACAATTTGTTCTGGTGAGCCATTAGGCCCATGGGTCATTTGTAATTTTTATTACATCACATGCATATTTATTAGAAGAAATCAGAATCAATTCATTGGCACAATCGTCAAACTTGTCAATGACCTGTCGGGTGAACATAATGTGGTTTTCATACCAGTATTTTATGAAAAATATTTTTTCATCTTATGTGAATTTTGATAGACGTTTTAATTAATTTGAAACACCACCATATATACATGTACATAACTTAAGCCTTTTCATTTGTGAAATTGTTATCCCCATCCTAAAATTGACAATAACATTCAAATAAAAAAGAACGAAATATGCTAGAACCTACCAAAAAGTTTTCTATGGCTTTTTCAGGCTGGTATAAGTAGACAGGCACTTTTAATTGTTACGGAAACCGATGCATTGGTGATGTACAGTAGATATTCAGAAATATGGGGGTCAAACACTAAGGATATATTAAAATGTGGAACTAAAGTCATGGTACTTGATATTGGAGGTAATTTGTTTTTCAATCATACATATTTTCCATTATATATATATATATATATATATATATATATATATATATATATATATATATATATATATATATATATATAGTATAACCTTGACGGACGAATATGCACAAAGTCAGTGAGAAATCAACGTCTGGATGAATTGAAAATATATCTCACAGACCAACCTTATCCTTTAGGCTTAATTAATGACAGCATCAGAAAAGCAAAGGAACTAGACAGACAAGAATTAATCAATCCAACTCCTAATGATGAGGGAAAAATTAAAATATTACCACTATATCACAACTTACAATCCTAACAACCAAAATATAACTCCTATCGTTCAAAATCTGAATGAACTCCGCAAAACGGATGATGACCGTATATATATATATATATATATATATATATAGAAAGCATAAAGAATTCACTTTTACATGGATACCCACTTCCGCCCCAGCCCGGGGTTGAACTCTCGACCTTTGGAATCTGTCTCCTAGCAGTGCAGGAACAGCGCGCTAGACCGCTCGGCTATCTAGGCAAGTCAAAAAAGTTGCTTTCGATGCCGATGGAATTCTCGCGGCGCTGCCCTTCACTACACGGTCATAGGATAGAAGTGAGATACAGTTATTTGGACATTAGTTTTAACAGAGGATTGTTATCAATACATGTTGTAATGAAATTAATGATTATTTATAAAGCACATTTTACAACAACTCTTAAACTAACATAACTGCCCTAAGTGAAGAAATATTAATATAGAAAGCACAAAGAATTCACTTTTACATGGATACCCACTTCTGCCCCAGCCCGGGGTTGAACTCTCGACCTTCGGAATCTGTCTCCTAGCAGTGCAGGAACAGCGCGCTAGACCGCTCGGCTATCTAGGCAAGTCAAAAAAGTTGCTTTCGATGCCGATGGAATTCTCGCGGCGCTGCCCTGTATCTCACTTCTATTCTATGACCGTGTAGTGTAGGGCAGCGCCGCGAGAATTCCATCGTATTTTGGTTCCCTAATTTGTTGTCGGTGTACGGTCATTCTGTGTCTCAGGGTGTCTCCTGTCTGGCCGAAATAATTTTCACCACAACCGGCACAGGTTATCACATAAATAAGACAAGAGCTGGTCCATGACATTGATGTTTTAATTGTAAATTCGCCTCCAGTTTTAAATTGAAATTTGGATCCCTCTGTCAGGTATGGACAAGTACTGCATCTTGGCTTGTTGCATCTATTGATGATTGCTGGTTCATTGTTGTTCGAAGAAAAGGTGCACCTACTATATATATATGCACAATAGTCAGTGAGAAATCAATGTAATACTAGTATAACTCCTGAAGATTGGAAATGAAACTGGTTGAGTTTATTTCGGCGTTGTGATATATATATATATATATATATATATATATATATATATATATATATATATATATATATATATATATATATATAGAAAGCACAGAGAAATTCACTTTTACAAGGATACTCACTTCCGCCCCAGCCCGGGGTTGAACTATATATATATATATATATATATATATATATATATATATATATATATATATATATATATATATATATATCAAAATAAAAAAAAGCAAAAACACAGGTTAAAACGTTAGGACTTTATATCTTAGCTCATTATATCTTCAGACGTTTCACAAATGCATATTTTATCCTTACTGCAATGTCTTACAAAACTATTAATACTTTAAAAATCATTATATATAATTGAATCTGACAGATAGCAATAAAGTACTTGCAGTATGTTCACACCTTTGAAACCAAATCCAACTTGTGTTTATACTCTTAGTTGGAGAACATGGAAAAGTTGCACTCTGTGTGAAAGTTTTGTCACAAATTAAATCAAACAGTTAAGACTGGGTCTAAAATTTCTCTATTTCTCTTCTTTCAGTTATATTGTCTTTAAAAAGTTTGTAGAAAGGAAACACTTTAAATTTTCCTTGTCCGCATCTATCAATGTGTTCGCTGAGTTTGATCTTACGGTATTTTAGGTTTTTGGGCTGCCTTTTGCTGTTTATAAAGCTTGAATTTTGAAAGAACAGTTGACATTTCTTCATCCGTTTTGATTGATTGATTGTATATTGTTTAACGTCCCTCTCGACGTCACCGTATGCCAGTGAAGGGCTTCAAATTTTGACCTTTAATCGGCACTCAGGGCCATTGAGCAGTGAGGAATCTTTATCGTGCCAATTTAATGCCTGCCGCTGACACGGGGGCTCGGTTTTTAAGGTCTCATCCGAAGGACCCGCAACTTTCACTTCAAAGTGCCGAGCGCATGGCGAAGGAACAGTTGCTACCCATTTTTTTATCGACTTAGGTCAGTCGCGGCCGATATTCGAACTCACGACCTCCCGATCACGGAGCGAGCGGTCTACCGACTGAGCTACCTTGAACGGTCATCATCCGTTTTGAGGAGTTCGTTCAGATTTTGAACGATAGGAGTTATATTTTGGTTGTTAGGATTGTAAGTTGTGATATAGTGGTAATATTTTAATTTTTCCCTCATCATTAGGAGTTGGATTAATAAATTCTTGTCTGTCTAGTTCCTTTGCTTTTCTGATGCTGTCGTTAATTAAGCTTAAAGGATAAGGTTGGTCTGTGAGATATATTTTCAATTCATCCATACGATGATTTCTCACTGACTATTGTGCATATTCGTTGGTCAAGGTTGTAAGGTATTACTCTTTGAATGTGTCGTGGATGGGAAGATCCAAAATGCAATGAGTGTCATTACTCTTATAAAATATATCAGTTGAAATTTCGTTGTTTTCCTTACAGATTAATACATCTAAAATGGCAATTGAGTAGAACTTTTTTCCATTGTAAATTTAATATCTGGGTCTAATTCATTTAAAATATCATTTAAAATGTTCAAATGTGAATCATCCTTTTTCCATATAATAAAACAATCATCCAGATATCTTTTGCAGTTTCTCTTAAAATATTCTCAAAATTCTTCATCAAACTGTTCATTAGTGTTTTCATATAGTGTTTCTTCTAGGTATCCAAGGGTAAAATTTGCATATGTAAGGGCAACTTTGCTACCCATAGCTGTACCTTTCACTTTATGAAAATATTTTTCATTGGAAGTAAAGACATTATTCTTTAAAACTAATTCTGTGGCTTCTAATAAAATTCTTTTGTAAACCGGTTGTCAATTTCATTTCTGTAATTTTCAATCCAGAAATTTAAAGCCTTGATTCCTAGGGTACTGGTTATATTGGTGTATAGAATTACTACATCTAAAGTTACAAGTTTTGTGTTAAAATCGACTTGTTTAAGTAGATTTCGTAAAAAAAATCTAAATCGTCCCGGACAAAACTTTTAAAGCGTTGGCAGAGGGGTTTCAACACTGTATCTCGTAGATTGCTGAGACGTTGGGTAGGTGCTTTGGGTCTTCCAACAATCGGTCGGAATGTTAGATCTTGTGCATTTTCACAAACAATATATTCGACGTTTTTTTTATAGCTTCTTTGATTAATTTTGGTTTGTGTATTTTAAGTAGCCCATAGAAACAACTTTCCTTATAGTCAAAATTAGTTACAAAATCCTCCTCCTTTTCTGTTAATACTGAGGAGTGTTTATGTAACAATTTCTTAATTTTTGGTTTTCAGCAAATCTGTAGAATTCTGTATTGGGAAGCATATGTGTTATCTTTCTTTCATAGTAAGCTGCGTTCATAATAACCACGGCCCCTCCTTTATCAGCTTCTTTAATGATGATAGTTTTATCGCTTGCTAAGGATCGTAAAGCTTTCTCCTCTTTTTTGGACAAGTTATTTCTTACTGGTTTATTATGTGTGGTATCAAGTGGTAGACTTTGAAGAGTTTCACAAACAGTATTTAACATACCATTTCGTCCTTTTTTGGGATTTAAATTAGATTTACATGATGTATTTCTAACAAAATCCTCCGGTCCATTTGAATCCGATTCATCTCTCTGTAATCTACGCGTGTATTCTTTAATATCTTTTTTAACTCTTGCTTAATACCATTGGGAGTCGGTGTATATTTCAATCCCTTTGACAAAGGTTTTATTTTCCATTCATTTAATTGTTTGGACAAATTGATTACTTTCGATTCCACGCGTATTTCATTTGTTGATGATTCTTGAATCTCTGTCCGCTGTTCGGTTTGCCGCCGCCTAAAAATAATTTGTTAACTCTTTTTCCAAACTGACGCAAGTTATAGCGTGTAACTTTAAAGGAGCATAGACATAGTTTCAGTAAAAAAAAAATTCAAATTTATTTTTACATTTTTACAAATATTTAACAAAGGTCTTTCTATCAAAATCAAAAATTTGAACTTCGGTTGTCTAAATTCAAGATAGATTTAGAGCTCCAAACCTTTGTTATGTAAACAGGGTCCATGTCATGTTTCGTTTACATAGATAAATACATGTATACTATATGTTCGTTTAAAGCAGATAATTTCAATAAAGAAGCTTATTCTAAATATACTGACACGCAAAAGAAACGCCACGCCCTACTTTAGGGGGAAATAAATATGTAAAGTAAAGCATAGGCGTCGGAACCGGGGGGGCTAGGGGGGTCTTAGCCCCCACTTTTTTTCCAGATATATACTTAGTATAGAGATTAAACATATCTTCGTAGGTTTAGCCCCCACGGATACGTCTTAGTATAGGTTCAAAGTGGGGAAAGTGGTGGTGTTTGGAGAAAAAAATTTTGGTACTGAAGCTCGAACCCACCACTACACCCCTCCCCCCCCCCCCACGAAATACGATTTTCGAGTTTGGGAAATTGGACATTCCCTTTTTTTTTTTTTTTTTTTTTTTTTTTGGTTGTCAGGTTTTTTGTGAAGGTACAAAAATTTTTTTTTTACACTTAGCCCCCCCACTTTCAATTTGCTTCCGACGCCAATGTAAAGAATTTTGTATCTTAAAATTATGAATATCTTCAATTTGGTAAACATCGGTAATTTAACGGTTGACTGCTTCCATACCCTAATCGGAAATCAAAGTTTGAGTCTGTTTAACAGAAATAAAAAATTGCATGTTTAACAAAACATTTGGCAATATTAAAGAGTTTTAAGGGTTTTTTACTGTTCATCATAAGTAATGCAGCAATATTTCAAAAATTAACTCTCCTTTCGTTTACCGTAACGATGTTAAGGCTACTTGAAAATGGCTTATGTACGCATTTCCATTGCTCTAGCTGAAAAATTTCAATGAAAAGGTGATGGAGAGTTGCAGATGCGAAATTTTACTAAATTACGCCTCAAAAGGGTCTTACGTATCATATGCATTAAGAACAGTCCTTGTACCGGAAGTCCAAGGGCGGCTACACTGCTCTAAGTTAGAGCCAAGCATCTGAAAAATGGGCATTTAAAAATGCCTAAGAATAATTCCACCGCTCTGATATCGATATTAAGGTCAAGATCTAGTAAATGTAAGGTGCCTACAGATTTTTCAAATTCAAGAAATTAATTACTTTAATGATGCTTTATAATATTAGATTGGTCAAAATAGATGTTTCGGGGCATTATTTGTAGAAAAAACAAGATGAAAAAAAATATTTTAAAATGTCATTTTCAATGAAAAATTAATAAAACAAGTATTGAAAATGGGAGTTTTTTTTCAATATCAGGCAAAGAAAATGCATCCAGATTGCCTACAGTTTTTCAGAAAACGGTAATTAGTATGTTCTTAGTCTCTACTTTGAAAAAATGTCAAATTTAAGATAGGTATCGGGACTACTTTTCATGTTGTTTCAAATTGAATTCCATGGAAATACTTTATTTTCTACATAATTCTATTAGAGCCGTAAAGTACGGGAAAAAGAAAGTTGAAAGTGATTATGACATCATAATGGATTTAGCACTGAAAAGCTATTCCAAAGTCATTTACTAGATCTTGACCTTAATGAACCTATTTTATCACAGAAATTAAACTGCAATTGTTGTTTAGATAATGTCTTATTTAGGAATTGTGATCATTAAAATTGGTTTTAAAAATTCAGTTGAAACTGGTCCATGTCCCTTTAAATATCAATAGTTGAATAAGTGCTATTCACTAAAGTGCTAATGCGGCACGGGAAAAAAAGATGGAGGGTTAAGGTGACTTCTTTTATTGTTAGAATATTACTCTAATGGCAAGAGAAATCATAAGGAAAAAAGACATTTTCAATATATGGATTACAATAAGTACAAATTTGGCAATATCAATTGAACATAAATTTATTTATATCAATTACTAGTATACGTATAACCAGTGTTGCCTGCGTTATAATGAAATAATTTAATTTTGCTTGTATTCTTGCCTCTCATTGGTTGATTTCCAAAAAGGAACGCATAACATTTTGTATAATCTGGTTTGGTATGGGGACACACCCCCTTGACAACCAGCATAATCATCTGTATCCATCAATCCCCTCATTTCCAGTCCTTGGGATTCATGGAAAATTCCAGATTTAATGAATGTACCTTTAATTTCAAACAGTTGCTCGATCTTACCTCATGTGAACAAGCATCATGGCTGCTAGATCTATGTATCAGTTTTTACCTCCCCTCGCTTCCCATCACTTCCGTTACTACGGTTGTATTATTGCGCGGTAAATTTGAACTCATAAAAACAACACAATTTTACATCCCCAGTTGTTTAATTATTTTAAAATTAAATTATAAGGAATGACTCTAATTCTTGGCCAAATTATCGAGTATAATATGGTTTGGGTCAGTTTACGCTTTTTTATAATCAGTTTACGCTTTTTTATAATCCGCTTCGCGGATTATAAAGCGTAAACTGACCCAAACCATATTATACTCGATAATTTGGCCAAGAATTAGAGTCATTCCTTAAATGAAAAAGGTGAAGATAACGTACGAACAGTAATCAATCTCAAATCTATAAACAATACAAATATGTAAAAAAGGCATAAAACACTGACCCCTAGAAACTCAAAACGTGGGATCAGGTGCGTAGGAGAACTAAGCATCCCTTGTTGACCGTTACACATGCCGTGAGCACTTTGTTTTGATGGGATGAAATGAATTTTTAAAACAATTAGTGTAAAACAAGTCGCCTAAATTAAGACCCAGTGATACGTTATATTTTCTAATATGGTCATTATTACGCCCATAGAATATACGAAACGTCGACTTTTAATGAGGTTTATGAAATCCCCGTAAATCAACTTATCAGTGAATAGCATGCCTTGCTTTAAAAATTGCTCGTACTCATCAGAGGCTCATGAGTAGCAAGTAAGTTGGAAGACATAACACTATTAACAGTTGTTAGTGGATAATTACTACATAAATACGGAAAGTTGATGATTGAGAAGCTGAAGTACATGTAATTACGTTTGTCATACAATTTTGTTGTTAGATGACCATTATCGTCTATAGGCAGAAAAACAAGATTTGGCAGATGCTTTGGGTTTTTTTTTTCGAAGGCATTTAGAAAGAGAAAATTTTCTTATTCTTTATACTAAATGACAGCAAATTCAATTATAAGTAATAAATTTTAATAGCCAACTTATTTTATATTTACTTGTTCAACCTGGGAAACTCTTAATTCTTGGTTCATAAAGCGGTCCCAAGTTAAGCAAAACTTAAGTGGCTGTTAAATTTATTCCTCAAATACTTGTAAACTTTTCTTCATATTCTGTCTTTAACTAAGTCACAGTTATCTTTGTCTAAATTGTTTTCTTTATAACAGGTAGTGTTATGAATGTAACAATACATGAGGCTGACTTTAATGGATCCCTCAAGTTTCTGAAGGCCTATAAATCCGTAGACTGTGGTGGAAACGATGTTGATAACATGTTCAAGAAATTGTTAAGCGTTATCACAGGAGAACAGAAACTCGTAGAGTATGAGAAGGAATTCACATCTGATTATCTCGAAATGTTTAGGGCCTTTGAAATAAGAAAAAGACAAGCTAGATCGGGGAGACCACTAGTTAATATAAGGCTACCTTTAACTTTCATGAACTTTTGTAAAAGGCACAATAGGGACATGAACATATATCTTGAACAAAAATTTGGAGAATCTGTAAGATGTTATGGAGATAATCTCAAAATCGATAAATCAGAATTCGAAAAATTATTCGAAGATACTGTAAAGAAACTTGTCAATGAAGCTGAATTTTTTTACAAAAAAGAATCTGACACTAAATTAATATTGATGGTTGGAGGTTTTTCAAATTTTTACTTACTACAAAATAGGATAGGTGACACATTCTCTAACAAATGCCGTATTTTGTTTGAGGACAATCCAGAAATTGCTGTATTGAGAGGATCTGTGCTGTATTCACACCAGCCGCACGTGTACCGAATGATCGAAAAAGATGTAATTGAGTGACCCTTGAGTCATATTTAAATTCAACCAAAAATGGAAACTCTTATTATTTTAGAAGTGTTTCAATATGCACATAGACAGTGTTTGTTACAGCTCTGTGAACACTCCTCATTTCCCACAACCAAAATAGAATTTAATGAAAACAAACAGTGATCAACCTCGAAAGTCAATGTAAGGCAAACACAAACCTACCAGAACATCAGAAGTGGAATTAGGTGCCATGATGGAGTAATCATCCCATATCAACTGGTCAAGCCCGCCATGTGCGCCCTGTCGTGATCGGCCAATTGTGGAAAATACGTAAACGATTCAGTAAAATAACGGCCTAACAATTTGTATGAAATTGTTGGTCAATATTTGCCTTAATGATTAGTATTAATTGTATTTGCTGACAAGGACAATGTATTGACCATAAATTTGCAAAATACTTAATTTCAGAGAGACTCTATTCTTATTTCATCATTTTCTTTGTCGGTAACTCGCCCCATTGTTAAAGACATCACGATAAACAGAAAGGTTTGTTTTTTGTTGTTAATTAAGTAACAATTTAAGACTTTTTTTAGTAGAATATCCAAATATAAAGAAGGTTTGTCCGTTTTTTATGTTGCTTTTATTTTGAGATCAAATGATATTTTGAATACTAATAGGAATGAATATGAATATTGTTTGTGGTTTAAACGTCGTCGATATATCTTTTTTGTTTTGTTTTTGTCTTTATTTCATAAATTTTATTACAAGTGCATTCACATATAGATAGACTACTTATTTATAATCAGTACATATATTCATTTCTACTTTTATTTAAAATTACACATTTACCTTTATGATAAATGTTTTATACATTTACACAGAGTGTAATTCAAAATTTAAAGGGGCATGGACACAATTTCAACCGATTTTTTAAAACCAGCTTTAATATTTACAATGCCAACGTAAGGCATCATCAAATGATTAGCAAAAATTTGAACATCATTTGTTGCTTAACAAACAAGATACAGAACTAAAAGATCTTCATAATGTAAACAAGGCTCGTGCCTTGTTTTTGTTTTCGTATGGAAAAAAATACATTTTAATAACAAAATGAAATTCAGCAAATCAACAGAAACTGTCGAATCATTTTTAAAATTAACTTTTTTATTGAAATTATCTACTTTGAACGAACATACGACGGTTGTTCAACAAAGTCGTAGACAGGGAAACAGTAAAGTTTCTCTTTGCTAAATTAAATTTCTTTTCTTGTCATAGCAAAATGTAATATTTTATGACCATGTATTTCAAGTTTCATGATGATATCACATCCAATAAAAAAATTATGAAAAAATAAAGAAAGCATGTAAGTGTACTTCGGTGCACGAAGCAAGCGTAATTTACGTCTTTTATACATGTAACGTCTTGATCTCTTTTTCTGCTATACACGCGTCTGCACATGTTAATTTACATCTATTTTTTAGAGTGAAAAAACACTCTTGACTAAGGGACTTATTTAAATTCACTACTGTCCTTTTTTTAAGAGAGGTTCAAATTTCAGCCAAAATTTATTCGAAAGATCACCTTACATTGTAGGCTGCAGAGAATACACATTGTTTGATGTCGTTCGTGGCCCAGAACGTCTTCAACTATCTGCGTTTAACAAACAGTACTCTACTTCTTACACGCGGTTACGTACTATTTTCGGTGAAAAACTATCATTGAATCTCATACCATTTAAAAACAACTTCTCCATTAGAATTTAGTGTGTTATGTCACTTCTGTACTCTTATTTCCCCGTCCCTGATGTTTATAAACCATATCCAAAACAATTTATTATATTTACATGCGCCGCTTACGCGTTTGACGACGTTCTTTTCATCAAACTCAATTCAAACAACACTTTGACAATCATGACACAAATCGTCTGTTTCTAATGCTATTTATATGAAAATTTTACATGTTATTTAGAATTTGATTTTAATTTCATTAATTTAAATTTGAGTTCAATATTTTACATAGTACCAAAGAAATAAAAGCAAATGTAATAGTTATATGCATATTCCGAATTTTTTTCGTGTGCCGACAGACCATATCGGTCTTCATATAAATCGTCCCAATATTATAAATATGAAAGATATATATATTTAAGAATTTGAAAATTCAGAAAACATTGAATATGTTAATCTATGCAAAATTCGGTTAGTATTGGTTGCATGTTTAAAAAGTTATAAACATTGTCGACGACTTTTTTGGGACAACCCTCGTATATTAGTATATTAACCTATGTAAACAAAAACATGATATTAATAGACCTTGTTTACAAAACAAAGGTTTGTAGCTATAAATCTATCTTGAATCTGGACAACAGACTATCAAATTTTTGATGATCATTAGAAAGATATTAGTTAAATATTTGTATATATGGAAAAATATATTTTGCAATTTTAGCTTAAACTGTGACCATGCCCCTTTAACTGAAAGGAAGTAAATAATATACATAATATACATATTTGTGGCATTTTGTTCATAAGTATAACTCTTGGTTGTGAAAACCTTATACACAGGCAAAAGATATCAGAAAAAAGAGGAATGAAAGGGGGTTAATGCAGAAAAGTATGTGTGGGGAACAGTATTTTAACTTTATTTATACATTTGTATGTGATCTTAGTAAATAATAACAAATAATAACATCATAAATAATTTCCTAATGTTTTTTATATTCTAAAATAATTGTACAAATTTTAATAGTATCATGTTGTGAGGTAAATGCAAAAGTTACAACATGATATAATCATGTTGTAAATTTTGCATATGTTACAAAATGATATTATCATGTTGTAAATTTTGCATTTACCTCGCCCTAGTAAATTTACAATTTACAACATGATGCTACTACAAGTATTCAAGTTTAATATTCTACCAGCACTGTTTTTTCTAACATTGAAATACTTAATTAAAGCAATTTTTGTAAACCTACCGTCAAAGATAAATTCCTTAACATTAAGTCTTGATAAATTAAGTAATCAATTTTGTTGAATTTGGCAAAAAAGTATATCTTTCTTTTCGAAATTCATGGGAAAATAAAATTTATATATGAACTGTTCCTTTGTGTGACACCAAAGTTTTTAAACAGAAATATTGCAAAAATAAATTTTCAATTTCTTCTACGTCTTTTTGCAGAAGAAGAATGCCAATGATTCAATTAGTATGAGTTTATGAATATATTCGATCGTTTTGATAATTCTTTGCAGAATTTGAAATTGGAACCAGTGCAAATTTGCTTCTTTTGTGACTTAAAAAAAAATTCGGTTAAAGAATATTTTGGAGTCTGCATCCATGTTCCATTAGTTTCACATTTTTGCAGTGCTTTTACTATTTCCTTTTTTTATTGAAAATATTGTACTTATCAGTACAGATATTTATGTTTTGTTGAGAATAAAGTTTTTTTTAGGAATAGATGGTCCAGTTTGTTCTCTTTATTCCAAAATCTGTTATAGATTGATTTTTTTAAACCATCATATTCTACGAAGTTTCTTTTTATAATCTGTAAGACACCCAAGACTTATAAATTTTCTTCAAAATCAAACAGATCTCTTACCAAAACAAAATCTGTATCAAAAATATAAATTTTCTAAAATATAGATAGGTTGTTCATTTCTTCTTTGATTACATCATGCAGGGTTCTCCATCATTTTAAATGTTACTGTGTTGCAGAGTTAACGCGAAGAACTAAATTTTCGCGGTATTTTCGCGATCAAATTCGCAACTGAATCACTATTTATGAAAATTACAAAAAAATACATGCACAGACTTATTTAAAAATCGCTAATTAGTTACACAACTGATACGGTCGTACATATTGATATTGATGTTATGTCTGACTTATAGTGCTAAAATAATGCTAGAGCCGTACGTGGCTCTATAGAAAAGACATATTTAATTTTTTTTATTTAAATAATACAATGTATTTTATTGCAACTACCAATAAACTCTTACATGGAAGTGTGAAAACAAATATTTTTCTTTGTTCCGTCATGCGTAAAGTCCGGTGAGGGTCTAAGGAGATAATTGATTATGCAAGTTGAAGCTTCAGTGTTTAAGTGCTCTAACTTTTATAATTGAAAGACGATATATATTTGTTTGATTAAAATCTCAGTTAGAGAAAATCTGTGTGTTTAGATTTTCTAATTATCACAGATCTTATAAAATTTGAATCGTTACTGTCTCGGAAAAAATTTACTGTGTCGGGAGCAACACAGTGAAACAGCTTATGGAGAACCCTGCATCATGTATGCTCACTAGAGCATGTCATATTATTTTGGTTATCAAACTCGATGATTTTGACCCAATTTTGTAAAACTTGTTACATTTTATCATTACACATATACACTGTATTTACAGTAAGTTTGAACCCCTTGTCCTTAAAGATTAATTTTCATTCCTTATTTTGATTCTAAAAGTTTGTCTTTTAATCTGAATAGTTCAATTTTGATCAATTTGAGAACGATGTAAACTGTAGAAGAATCTTAGAATTACACATAAAGTCTTGAGAGGTCAGAAACCGCACCGAACTTTTTCTCTCAAGATTTACCAAACAATTTCAGGCTCCCGGCTCCTGCAACAGGCTTAAATTCAAGTCAAATTTTCAATCGCCTGCAAAATTGATCATTAATTATTGTAGTTATGTCAGAATTCGCGAAATACAACATTTTAATGAGTAAATTTAATGAAACAAATTAATTTTGATCCGTTTGCCTTCCGTTTAATGTAACCTCAACGTGAAGATTTGGACTTAAGCATAAGATGTTTTATGATCCCGGGGCCAGGTCGTGTCAGTGCTAAGTATTGAGAAAGTTTTGTTTTAAGGAGGAATGCCACACCAACTTTTTATTTTATAGATCTCTGAGTCAACCTTTTTAAACAATGGTTTCAGCATTGAAAGGCCGATATTACATAGGCAATTTAGCCACATATGATCCTCATATGCATTGCCTTTCATATGAGGATCATATGTGGCTCATATGAGAATCATATGTATATACAATCATATGAGAATCATATGTGGCTAATCATATGAGAATCATATGTTTGCACATATGTATATCATATGATCGTATTTACATATGATTCTCATATGAAAGACCCTGCATATGAGAATCATATGTATACTTTGACAGTTGTCATATGAGAATCATATGAAACTGATCATATGAGAATCATATGAAACCATATTCACTAATTTGCCCTTGTTATACTCAGGTAAAAATCATATGAATATTTGGACAGTGATCATATGAGAATCATATGAATCAGTGATCATATGAGAATCATATGAAATAGTGTTCACTAATTTGCCCTTTGGTATATGCAAGTAAAATTGCAATTTCAATAATATATATCAATAGTAATTTAAATTTACATTAATTCAAAAGAATTTGTTAGCAATTACTTATGTAAAGTTCTACTCTGTTCAACACCACCCCACCCCCCCCACCCCCCTTCCCTTAAAAAAAGAAGTTCACAATTTTTTTCTGTAATAATGCATTTCGCAGATAAAGAATAAATTAATTTGCTTTTTATTTCAAATCTTTTGGGTTTGGATTATTACTTGAGTAAAATCAAAATCATTCCGTATTTTTTTCCGGACCGGTTTTGACTTTTATCGGATGAAAGAGTACGTCATGTTTGACGTCACTGCTACAGCAGAAGTGCTGGGAGTTGGAAATAGTAAGTTATCTCCTAACAATTTTTTATAAAGACCTTTAATTCACATTGTTTAAATATCCTTTCATTACGGTTACAGGTTCGTATGAACTTATTTTTATAATACTCTCATCACTTGTAATTGTTAAATTAATGCATTTCGCAAACCTACATAATGTTAGTGATCTGTAAGTATATTTTGGATAAATTTGTTTCTCATTGAATGTAAACATTACAATTTACATGTTAGGCTAAAGGCATCTTTTTGTTTTGACTTTTGTTACGTACTGATTTGAAAGTGAAAGTAGAAACCCTGTATAGTATAGCAATTGGCGTTTTGTATGTTGAGATCGTTTATCAAGTCGATTCTTTCATCAACTTAATGACAAATGTTTGTTTTTATGGCCTATAGATGCATTCAACTTGAGTTCAGTGTCAAAGTGCAGCTTTTTTATGAAGTCCACGAAGCCCAAAGCTGATAAGACTGGCGATTGATCCTAAAGCTGATTCTGACAGACGATTGCATCATCACAATATTAAAGGTAAAAAAAATTAAAATATTGCAATAAAAAATGAAAGTGTACATCTTTAATGACTCCTTTATGACAAAATATTTCTTGATAATTTCTTTTTGTTCCTTTATAATTCTACATTGTTTGCACAGCTTCATCAAAAATAAATTCAACTCAGTAATATAGAAGTTTTATTCTACATTATGAAACAATTTTAATTGTGAATGCACTTTTAAAATATGGAAAGTATGAATAGAATTTTCTTGCTTTAAAAGCTATGAAACTATACAATTACTTCAGGGGGTAAATTGAATTTTTGAATTTCAGCAAAAAATTAATAATAACAGTGGCAACTTTCAAGGTACAAATACATGTGCATGTGTATGATTTGAAAGTACATCAGATAGCTAATCCATTGAATATTTACATCTATGTATTCATTGACATTTATAATTTTTTTTCCAACACTAGAGAACCTAGTTTCAGGTGAATTGTAAGATATTTAGGACAATTGAGAACCTACAAACTTGTACTCTCTCTTTTTGTAGTTTAAGTTTTAGTTATGCTTAGAAAATATCTACTGTGTGAATATTTGTTTTACAGGTTCAATATACAGTCAGCCTCTCATAAGTAAAAATCCAAAGATCCAAGGCTTGCTTTAAAGTTAAGGTAACTACACACTGTTTAATAGACTTTGTTATATTCTTCCCAACAAAGTCTGGAATATCCTGGAATCACAAAGTCTGTTTTTTCGGCCTATCTGTGTCATAATCTTCTGATTTTTTGGCAATCTGAATTAATATATACTATTTGAACATTCCAAATTCAATTGTCAAAATAAAAAAAATTGCTTTTTAATGATTTTAATATGAAGCGTATCTTCCAAAAGTGTAATTGTCTTGCAAAATTCAATTCAATTGTCAAAATAAAAAAAATGCTTTTTATAATTTTATTATGAAGCATATCTTCCAACAGTGTAATTTTCTTGCAAATTACATCATAGGATTCCACAAAAACTTTGTATAACATATATAAATTAGTTTTATCTCATATCATATCTGTGTCGGTGAATTGGGAATACATGTACATTTGTTTGCTGATGATAAGTTACTTTAATATAACTTGTAGAATTGATTTTGTAATTTAAGAATCATTTTATTTTTATTTTTGAAATTCTTGTAGAGACCATTCTGTGCCACAAAGAAATTGTTTAGGAAGGGGAGAACTGGTGCATTCGCATTTTTGGTACAGTTCAAAGGGATTTTCAAAATTGTCAGATCAGAGGGAGGACAACTGAAAATATTGAAAGATACAGATGGAAAAAGAACAAGGAAATATATGGAATAATTATGAAATGGGGAGGATGTACACAATTTTGTCTGAATTTGTCCTGTAAAGATTTTCCATTCTTATTTGTATGCTGGAATATCAAATAACTTGATTTTTTATAAATTTACAATAGAGAATACATGACAAATGTTATTGCTGATATTTCAATTTTGCTGTGGACACTTTCATGTCATATGGTATTTTTATACAAGTTCATGACCTAATAATGTTATTCATTTGTACATGTCTACACATTTAACTACTCAATCATTTTGCTGAAATCTTATAATTTGTACTCATTTTAGAATATGTTAAATACATGTATCAACAAATGCTACTGACTTGTTTGTATGTTTTCTTGTTTAGAAAGTACACTGTGAAAAAGAAGTTATTTCTCGTGATGAAAATAATTTTATCAAAAAAGTTGTGTAAGCATTATAAGATATTTTAAAATATGTAACCAATGAAGATATATCATTGTAATGTAATGAATTTTCATCTAAAGCAGAAATATCTGATTTTTAAATGTGTACAAGAATGTGAAAAATATTGAAAGAGAACACACATAAGTGTTTCATATGATTTACATATGATGCCCTTTTCATATGATTATCATATGTAAATGGCTTGAAACACACATAAGTGTTTCATATGATTTACATATGATGCCCTTTTCATATGATTATCATATGTAAATGGCTTGAAACACACTTAAATCATTCATATGCAAATCATATGAAGTTATTTTCATATGATTCACATATGTGGATCATATGTAAATCATATGATTTGCTTCATATGATTCACATATGATGCCCTTTTTCTATGATTATCATATGAAACCAATCATATGAGAATCATATGATACTCATATGAGAATCATATGTGGCTAAGTTGCCTGTGTAGCTCTTAATTATTTTATATGAATTTTTTTGTATTTTTTCAAGGAAAATGAAAAAAATTGTTTACATCCAAATTAGATGCTTTCTTGTAAAATTTTTGCTGTAAATGAATGCATCACATGAATACCTAATAAATTATGTAAAGAAAGTCTAGTTAGACTTTTAAATTTTTTTACTAAAAAATTATTTATGAAAATAAAACACATAATTTGTGAATAATTTTTAAATTTGTGGTTAAAATCTTCTAAAAACCAGCCACAACTGGGGAGAACATGTTCATTAATCATATTTATAAAAGAAATTGAAAAAATAGACAAATTTTAGAGAAATTATTTTTTTTTAATATTGGCCAATCCCGATCAAAATTAAACCGATCCCGACGATAATTGTACAATTATTGGAAATAAATAACATTTTCCTAAGAACACTAGTCTGATTAGGTGTTATAAGGGTTAAAACGTTACAGAACTTGACAATAAAATAGATTTCTTCATTGTAAATTCATGAAGAGGCAATAAATTAGCATTTTATTCATTTTGTTTTAATTTTGATCGGGATCAGTTTAATTTTGATCGGGTTAGGTCCAAATATTAAAAAAATTAATTTCTGTAAAATTTCTCAATTTCGTTTCAATTTCTTTTAAAAATATGATTGACAAACGTGTTCTCCTTAGTTGTGACTAGTTTTATGGTGTTTTTAGCCATAGGTTTAAAAAATATTCACAAATAATGTGTTTTATTTTCATAAATAATTTTTTATAAAAAAAAAATTAAAAAGTCTAGCCAGACTTTCTTTACATATTTTATTAGGTATTCATGTGATGTTTTCATTTACAGCAAAAAATTTACAAGAAAGCATCTAATTTGGATGTAATTAATTTTTTTCATTTTCTTTGAAAAAATACAAAAAAATTCATATAAAATAATTAAGAGCTAATATCGGCCTTTCAATGCTGAAACCATTGTTTAAAAAGGAGGGCTCAAAGATCTATAAAATAAAAAATTGGTGTGGCATTCCACCTTAATGCATGTTTTATATTACAATCTTTGGCCATAACTTTGAAAGGTAGATACCAGGACTTTTATACTTCATAGATATATATATATATATATATATATATATATATATATATATATATATATATATATATATATATATAGCTCAACAAACTTTTTAAGCTCACATGGTTTTTCGCATAAATTAAGGTCACATTTTTATAATAAAAATTACTATTTTCGAACCTTAGAACGATGACATGGCCATACGTTATATTACATATATAATGTCAAGTATAAATGTCCTTTAAAATTATTATCTTAAGTTTCCAAAGTAGATGTTTCAGAGGGGAATTTATCAATAAATGGTACGATGTTTCTACTATTGGCCTCTACCATAGGTTATTTACAAATAATAATATAAAACGTGCTTTCTTTGATACAATGTAGTTGAAAATTTTAAAATTTCTTCTACAAGGTGAATATTTTTTAAAATTCTTTGCTCATTTACCATACTCATCTGGGTTTTGTCGAAATGTAGTACCTAAAAGAGATAACTTTGCAGAAAGAAACCATACTACAGGGTAGGATTATGAAGTATTGTTTATTTTTTTAAATAGTAACTTTTTTCTATGAAAAGGAAAGTTCTTATGAATTTCAGTTTGAAACGTTAAAATTTTGGTGTGGGGTAAATCTTTCATGATTCTAGATTTTAGAAGGTGACTCTGAAAAATGCCATCTTATTAACATACAAAGCAGTAAAACAGATGAAAAATACTATTGTCACTCTGATAAAGAGTCGGAATGTACAGAAAATACAAGTTACAGTAGCTGTACTGTGCCCGTAGCTATGTTTCTGCAAAGAGCTACTTCTTTCAAAAGAACGGACAAAAAGACAGCTGCAATTGGCAAGATACCACAAAAAATCAAATGGAAATAGTTGTTATTTTTCAGCCAAGAATATATCAAAGTTTTAGCAATTGATTTGTATGATAATGTTTTGGTAAATGAAATGAAACTCAAATAATGTAAACAAATTCTTTTAAAATGTATTTTGATGTCTCAATAAACAATATTACATTATAACAATGTGACCTTAGTTTGTGCGAAAAAAGTATACCACTGTGTGAAATAAGGAATGAATTCACGTAAACTAAAAATATGGACTCATATGATTATACCAGCATTTATTATGTATGTTCATTACATTAAACTTTCAATTCATTGTGTAAATTGATCGTAAATACCGTCGTCGTGTGTCTGCCGACCAACTTACTGTGTCCTTTTCGGTCATGGCGATACTGAAGATTTTAACTGATAAAGAGGGCTTAAGGTTATTGTTTAACGTCATTACATGTACTTTATTATTGTTTAATTAAGTAGCTTACTTCATTGATTATTATAAGTACTTACATTTCTTTCACGGTTCGGTGTCACATAGTTTGTATTTTTCATGCTTTGTTCCACTGCTATTTTAGTTAATGTATCGTCTGCCATTTGGGTTTATATTTTCGTTTTGGTTAGGTTAGACACACTGCGCCTGTCGGGTAGTTTGCCCTATATAAATGTCGCCATGAACGCTAAGGTTTCAGTTTAAATCTGCAGAATGTCTGCCCAACTTTAATAAACTTACATGTAAATACTGATATTGTTGTTAGTTTTACAATTAATAACTAACGATTTAGGAGTTTTACTAAAGCTTTCATTGACCAAACTGATTTGTTTAGGAATTCAACAGTTACCATCTTACCAATTCATAATTTGTTACGTACGACCTGATGAATTGTATTACATCAGTATTGTTTGATTATTTGGTTATTATTATTATTATTATTATTATTAACATTATTAACTTTCAGCAGTAATTTTTTCTGTCATTGAAATACTAGTTCTTAAGTCTTATATATAGTGTTAAGCCTTCTGGCAAAGCTTAACATTAAAAGTAAGTATTGATATATCATGAAATCTCAACATATTTCTATTGTTGAATTTTCCGACATAGTACATGATATATCTGTCTTCTCGAACTTCAGGGGAAAAAATGTAATGTATTTATTTACTAACCCTAACTGTGCAACCATACCTAGTAACATTCAAAAAAATAAATGCTTAGTTCCTTTTGCAAAAGGAACATACTGTTAAATGCAGTGCAAAAAACTGTAGGGGGAGTAGCATTTTAATGGTATTTCAAAGAAATTTCTATTTTTAGTAACCATGGCAACATCGTTCATCGAAATCAAAAACCAATGCACAGAATTATGTATCTTAGTGTAGTCTACTTGTGTGCCAAGTTATATTGAAATCGGACCAAATCTGTAGGATGAGTAGCATTTTGAAAAATTGTTTACAGACAGACAGACTTACGGACGCCGGACGCATTACTATCGCATAAGCTCTCCTGGTCTCTGACCAGTAGAGCTAAAAATTAAGCTTGCTTCATATGAATACAAAATACAAAAATATGTCATGTAAAAGCGGGGCAAAATTGGTATCCATAGGAATTTCAATAAATTGTTGGAAGACCTTGTCTCCAACCAAAAACATACTAGTAAATATTGACTCTCAGAAACTCAAGAAACTCATTTTTTAAATGTCAACTTTAGAGTACTTGTGTGTATAATCAGAGTATTTTTAACAAAACAATTTTGCAAATGACCAACGGCAAGGTAAATGAATTTATGAGTTCCATTTTTTTTTATTTAGGGAAGCAGCTAGTTGTCAATGATATAAAAAGGCTGAACTTTAATTTATCGTGGGGAATGGTTGTGTATAAAGTTACAAAGTCGTAAATTTTTACGCTGTTGATTTCTGTAAAATCTTATTTTTCAAATTTTCCAAAAGTTTTTGAATTTTTAAGTATCCCCATCTGATCTACACCACTTAAATACTTATATATTAAGTACTCGTATATTGTTGCACAGTATTCTTGAAGTTTCTCCTTCACTGCTGTTAATATCTAAGTGAGGAGTAAAGAAAAAAGACGTGGTTGAATATTTATTGGGATCTGTTATGTATCAAATAATGACTGTTATAAACAAAGACAGAGTTATCATCTGTTTTGTCAGCAGGGACTAGTTCATACTGTTCATGCAATCTACTAGTTCAACACTCTTTTGATACATTTAGTCCATTCTAACAAAGTGGCATGGTCTTCCTTTTCATCTTTTGCTCATCCTTTGGGTTAATCTTCTACCGAATTCATAATATTTATTATATAACATGTACAAAGCCAGTTGAAAGATTGGGCTTTCCTAAATTTTGAACCTCTAATAATAAGTAACTGAACGTCCTCATTATTATCTATCTTTACATATATGTAACCAGTACTGACGTGTCCAGCAGTTATAAACCTATTACGGGGGGGGGGTCGTTTAGTCGTTGCCTTTTGACTTCATACCAGGATTTTTAATACCATTTTCACATAAATCTTTTTT